TATTCTCTTACTCCGTATCCTTTCCAACATGGCAACTGAAGCCAACTCTTAGAATATTTTGGGTAGCCGTTATTGTATAAAGATAAATTTCTACTTTTAAACAGATCAATTAACAGTTTCGGCTTCTCTCCACCAGTAGGGCACCATCTCCTTATGCCTGGAGGGTGCGAGAGGTAGTCAAACAGAATTTATACAGGCGCTGACTAACTATCTCTACTCTTTAAACAATGATAATAGTTAAACAAGTAGGTCAATATCTTTTTTATGTAGTAGAAAAGTAAAATCTTTTTATATAAAAATATAATTTATCCTTTTTACTTTCCTATCTGTATACAGATAAGGAAAGTATAGGAATCATTTTTTTCGCCCTCCAGTTTTTGACGGATTTTTACGTTTTGGGGTCCCCTGAATCCGTTTGGACTATTTTCGGGATGATGTGGCTGGCGCACATCAATAGTCAAACACTGCATAAAATGAAAAATTGTGTTGATGGCTTGACATTAAGAGGAAAATCCCATTTTGACAAAAATAATTGCAGTGTGTGCTGTGAAGGCAAACAATCGAGATTACCATTTTCAAATGTAGGTGTGCGAAGCAATTATGCATTGGAGAATATACATGGTGATGTCTGTGGACGAATGGAAGTCGTCTCCATAGGTGGATCCCGATATTTCCTTTTACTCATTGACGATTTTAGCAAAATGTCATTTGTTTATTTCCTTAAGGCAAAAAGTGAAGCTTTTGAGCGATTTAAGGAGTTCAAGTCCATGGTTGAGACCCAAAAAGGTAAGAAGATTAAGATTCTTAGAACTGACCAAGGTGGCGAGTTTTGTAGCAAAGAATTTGACAGCTATTTAAAGAAAGCAGGTATAATTCATCAAAAAACAAATACTTATACTCCCGAACAGAATGGTGTTGCCGAAAGATTCAACCGAACCATTGTAGAAAAGGCAAGATGCCTCTTGTTCGATTCTGGACTAAGTAAGAGATTTTGGGGTGAGGCAGTTAATACTTCTAAACTATTTAAGAAATAGATGTATCGCCAGTGGCCTAAATGATAAAACTCCGTTTGAACTGTGGTACGGTAAAAAACCTGACATATCAGGCTTGCGTATTTTTGGTAGTACAATTATGGTACATGTTCCAAAAGAGAAACGTCTGAAATTTGACAAAAAATCTAATAAACATATCTTGGTAGGATATTCTGAAGAAATAAAAGGCTATCGAGTTTATAATCCTAAAACAGATGATGTCACAACTAGCAGAGATGTATATATCCATGAGGATCTAAATACTAAGACTTTTGACATCATAGTTGCTGAAAACGAGGAAGAATTACCAATTTCAGTGGGGGAAGTTAACTCAGATGTTAGCTTAATCCAAGAAGACAACTCAGATTTAACCACAAGTTCCACTGATGATACCTCAATAGCAGAAAATCCAAGTGACAGTGACTACGTGCCAGTTAACACATCAGTAGAGTCTTTTAGTGATAGTGTAGTGCGTAGAAAGTCGGAAAGACAAAAAAGGTAAAAAAATTTGATGAATATGTGACTTATTTAAGTCCAGCTGTTGAGAACTACCCAGATGAAGCTCCAGTAGGTGTTACATAGGCTTTATCACGACCTGATGGCAGTCTGTGGAGGCAGGCCATGGCAGACGAGTTGAAGAGTCTCCAGGACAATGAAACTTGGGAACTGGCAGACTTGCCATAAGGTAGTGCTTTAGTGCAGTGTAAATGGGTATTCAAAGTGAAGGTTGACAGTGCTAACAATAAAACCTACCGGGCTAGGTTAGTAGCTAAGGGTTTTACCCAAATAGAAGGGATAAATTATAATGAAACCTTTTCGCCTGTTGTTAGGCACTCTACCCTAAGGTTGTTAATAGCTTCAAGTGTAAAATTAGATTTAGACATCTTCCATCTTGATATAACCACAGCCTTTTTACATGGTAATTTAGAGGAGACTATTTTCATGAGCCAACCTGAAGGTTTTGTAAATTCAGATGGGTCAAATAAAGTGTTAAAATTGAAACGTGCCATTTATGGCCTAAAACAATCCTCTCGTGTTTGGTACAAGAAGGTCGAAGATGTTTTAACTAATTTAGGGTACCATATATCCAAATTTGAGCCATGTGTCTTCATTAAGTTTAATGAGGGTCTAATGACAGTCATTGCTTTGTATGTTGATGATTTCTTCATTTTTTCAAATGATATTGTTGAATCAAATGTTTTAAAAAGGGAATTAGCGGTAAATTTCAAGTTGAAAGATCTTGGCCAGGCTAAGCAAATTTTAGGAATGAACATCCGTATAGACAAGGCAAGGAATGTCATAACATTGGACCAAAGACATTACATAGAATATTTATTATCTAAATTTGAGATGTCTAACTGCAAAACTGTCGATACGCCAATGGAGAGAAATTTAAACTTATCAAAAAGTGAAAGTTGCTATCCCTTGCCGTATCAACATTTAATAGGTGGCCTAATGTACTTGGCAGTCATGACAAGGCCAGATATATCTTATAGTGTTAGTTTTCTTAGCCAGTTTAATAACTGTTTTGATAATACTGGCAGAGTGTTAAAAGAATTTTGAAATATCTACAGAAAACCAAAAATGTATGTTTAAAGTTTCAGAAAGACTCAAAAAGTCTAGAAGGTTTTGTAGATGCTGATTGGGCCAGAAATTCTCTGGATAGGAAGTCATATACAGGTTTGTGTTTCATTTTTTCAAGTTCAGCTGTGTCTTGGGAGAGCAATAAACAAAAAACAGTCGCCCTCTCAAGCACTGAGGCCGAATATATGGCCTTAGCAGAAGCAGCTAAGGAGGCCATATATTTTCGAAACCTATTAAGAGAATTGACAGGTTCCCTTGATTGTATTTCAATTTATAGTGATAGTCAAAGTGCCCTAAAGCTTACATCAAACCCCATGTTTCATAAAAGGACTAAACACATAGATGTTCGTCATCATTTCATTAGAGAAACTGTAACAAGTGGTTTGATCAATACAGAATACTTGCAGACAAATGATATGCCTGCAGATATCCTGACAAAAGCCTTGGGAGCAAACAAACATTACAAGTTTTTGAAACACCTGGGCTTAGAAAGCTTGTAAGTTCCTTTTTTTTTATTTATTATTTCAAACTAGTGGGGGTGTTGTAAAGTTTGAAATACCCTTGTCTTTATAATACACCTAGCGCCCTCTCTTGGTTACTTTACAACATGCCATGTTTCATAGGACGTAAAAGATCTTCCATTTTAGTAGTCGTAATATAGTCGTTGCCGATGAACAAGCGTTTTGGTATTATTTAAAAACCTACCAAGTTTCCCATTTTTAACACCTTGGACTCCCATTCTAGAATATATGATGAGGAGTATGAAGCGAACGTTTAACAAAAATGACTTCATAAGTTATGTTAGCAAATTTTCAGAAAATGTTAAAGTCATAATATTTTTTGGATCGAAGACCCATTATTGGCGTGCAATCAAACAGTTTTTATTTTTTATCTCGATAAAAACACGAAAAATAGAAAAAAGTTCAAAAGACAAAAAATATTGTGTTTTTGATTAGCGAATTTGAAAAAGAAAAGAAAAAGTCAGTGGCGTACTTTTGTTAAAATATCAATTAAGTTGCCTTTGGGGACGCCACTGGAATTAATAATTCAAATATAACTAAGTCAAAATTAGTCTCTTACTGCAACAAATGAATCTGCCAAGTTTCACTAAAATCGGTCGAAGGTTTATGATATGAATGAAAAATTGATTATTTTTAAAAATTGAATACCCTGTATCTTTGAAACAAAGCAATTTTGAACACATGTATACATAAACTTTTAGTCATAAATTGTGCCAAGGAATTACTTCCTTCAATTATGACATGAAGTTTAGGAACACCCTATATAAATATGCTTTTGTACAATCGTTCACCATTTAAGCTTTTAGTGAACCTTTGCAATATTGGTACCTTATTATACTATTTAGCTAATTTTGTCCAATCGTTCAGTGCTTTATAGGTAGCTTCTACTATATCGCACATGTGTAATTGCATTTGTGATATACTTACCTCTACTTTTGTGATATTGGTACTTGATTTCAAGAACATTTTAATAATAAATTTATACAAATATTTTGTTTTATTTGATTCGATTGAGATTTTACTAAAACCTCAATTTCAGCCTCTCTGAATTACATTACACAATATAGTATCTCCATGGATGGACTTAATTATTCTTGTAAACATATTTATTTTAGGTTAAAAAAAGTTATTTTTCATAATTTCTCAATGTGAATCGTATTTATTTAACAAGCAAAATAAATTATGAAGAATTACTTTTTATAATTTAACATAAATATTTTCACAAGTGGACACACTGTATAATGCTATAGAACTAATTCACATTATAACGTTTCAGAGCAACTTTCGGTGTAAGTAACGTAAAAGTGCTAGTGTGATGTTTTTCGAACTTCACTTTGAAACCTCTGCGAGATGTGCTATAAAAGTCTTGCCGTTGCGGACATTCGGCGGTTGCAGGGATATTAAAGCTGCATTAAAAGTACATTGCATACGAGCTTAAAGAGCCTAAAATTGCAGCTTATTAACGTAGATGGGATAATTTTGTGCTAGCTGGGAGTAGACCATCGTTTCTTTGTAATTTTGTCTAGACATAAGTACAATGAATGAATTAACGACTCAACGTTTAAATATAATACATGTGGGTATTAAAAGCATTTTTAACTTGCACACGTCATGCCACGATGGGTTAAAAGTACACCATATTTGATTGGACTGCTCAAAGGTATTGCGTGAGAGACCAATTTGTTTTGTTATACTGATCGAATTTGATTAAATACATTCAATTTTATTTGTATGAGTTTTAAATTAAGCCTAAGGGAAGAGTGAAGACATTTTCGTATGTAAAAATTGGTAATCTGGAGTCATATAAAATTTACAACTAAATTAATCACCCTGTAATAGAATATAATTTTAGTTTAAATATAACCTGATATTCTTGCAATGCATTATCATTATAGGTTGTTAGTCTGGCTTTTTTATCTTCTAATTGTTCAAATTCAGTCTTATTCTTATGAAATTCCTCAGCGTCAACACATAAAATCTTCATGAAATCTTCTTTGTATTTTTGTTCAGCTTCTTTTAACTGTTCAGGAGGATCCTCAGCATTAAACATGATACATAGCTGACAAAAATAGGCATTTGATAACTAAAAAATACTCCTGCTTAATAAGATTAATGATTTAATAAATTTAATTATTATTTTTTTTTTATAAAAAACGTGCTTGATTGAGTTTAAATAAAATGTTAAAGATAAAGGAGGCTTAGTTCCATCACAAGAAGATTATAAAAATGTGTTAATTATTGGAAATTATACACAAGTAGAAAGTTATTTTACCTCTTGCAATAAATACTTGTGCAGTTCTTCTGGAGGCAGAATAGAATAATCATTAAAGCCCGTTATTTTTAATGTAATTTTGTCAATAAGCCATCCACACATTCCAATTACTTGAGCCCAACAGTGCATGGTATTTACTGAAATTAACAAAATATATAAATATAATAAAATCAATCCTGATACAAAAAAAGTGTGAACAACATATATACAGGGTATACCAATCTTGTGGAAAAGTTTAATATCATTCTTGTTGTAAGAGATATTAAAAAAAGTAATAACAAAATTTATAGGGTGGTTGAGGGTCACATTTTAAAATTACATAGAGGTATACAGGAAGTTGCATGACTCAGGTTTATTATTTTAGATTTAGATTAATATCATTTCTTCCATTATTCTAATATATGGTTTGTTTAGGATATATAGGGTACTCGTAAAAGAAATTGGCATTTTTGTATGCATGAAAATAGTAAGTAAATCAATGCCCTGTTGTAGCCAATTACATATGGTGGCAAAAAAGGTTTTTTTACTTACAATGTTTTTATTCTATACTCGGACCATTGATTTTCCTGTTTTATTTAAATGGAACACCCTATATTTTATATCACCAGTAAAACTCTCTACAGGGTGTTTAAAAAAGTGTCCCCGTTGCTAGGATAGATATAACACTGCAAAATAAGTAGGGTTTACTGAATTTTTGTAAAGGCATCCGTTTTCCAGATAGAGGGCCTTAAAAAAATGTTTTTATATATGCCTCTCATAGAGGGTGCTAGTTACATGGTTCGAACAGAGTAGTTTTAAACATAACTTACGTAACAGTATTTTGATTTGACTTATTGTTTTTGTGTGTGATTTACTAGTATGGAAAAGAAGTGAAAAATAGATTGCGAATGCAGAACATTTAAAGATTTGCAATGAAACCATAGCCGTTCACAAAGAATATAACATTAAACATTATGAAATGAACCATTTTCAAAATTACTCAAAATATACAGGAAGTATGCGGATAGAAAAATTTGAAGCTTTGAAGCGCGGATTGAAATCGCAGCAATATTTGTTTACGAAAGTCAGTATTGAACAAGAGGCTGCAACTCGTGTCAGCTTTCGTGTGGCTCTTGAAATCGCAAAACGTGGAAATCATTCACCCATGGAGAAATTATCAAAGAATGCGTAATTGCAGTAGCCGAAGAAATGTGCCCAAAAAGGTAAATTTATTTAAAACTGCCAGTTTGTCAGCAAACACCGTTGCTCGGAGGGTACAAGACATCGCAGAAAATATATCATCTCAACTGTCTGACAAAAATTGACATATTGAGTAGCTTTCTCTGGCCTTGGATGAATCAACGGATGTGTCAGATACTGCTCAGATGTTGATTTTTATTTGAGGAGTATATAAAAGCTATGAAGTGTATGAAGAACTTCTTGATGTTGATAGTATTCATGGCACCACTAGTGGGGAAGATATTTTTAAGGCAGTTGAAAATGCCATTAATAAAAAGAATCTATTACAACTGACGAAGGAAAAAACATGTGTGGTAAAAATAAAGGAGTGGTTGCACTTGTGTCAAGGTTGTAGAAAATGATGGTGGTTCAATACCATTTGTCTTACATTGTATCATTCATCAACAGTCCTTGTGCGGAAAATGTTTGGATGTCTGAAGTTCTAAAACCAGTCATATCAGCTGTTAATTTCATCAGATCCACTGAGCTGAATCACCGACAATTCCGCGAGTTTATTAAAGAGATGAGAGAAAATGAATTACCATATCATACTGCCGTACGCTGGCTTAGTTGCGGAAAAGTCTTTCAGCGCTTTTTTGTACTTCGAGCAGTGATCGAATTTTTGAATGAAATGCATCGCCCTCTTAGCCAATTACAAAATAGCGAATGGCTGTGGAAGTTAGCATTCTATGTCGAATTGACAAAACATGAACGAACTGAATTTGAGATTGCAAGGAGAAAATCAGCTTTTCCCCGATTTATATACTAATATCAAATCGTTCCGGCAGAAAATAATAATAGAGAGTTGAAGTGATGCTATAAACGTATACGTACATACGTAAGCTTACGGGCTCTGGCGTATGTACGCAACGCAAACAAAATAACCTATTTTTAATTGGTAAAAAAGAAATCCTGGGGTGGGATTCCGTTTCACGATTCGACTCGAATTTGATATCAAACTCCATAAAAGCAATTCCGTTTAACGAGTAGTCGATTCGATATCAAATCGTTAAAGTTGGATTATTCTGACATTAGGTATGACCTGTCAATGAGGTCAAATAATAAGCCTGTGGTTTAAAATTTTAGGAAAGAAAGGAATTTAGTTTCCAGGGCATACCTATGTCTTTGGCAATTCCTTTTATGGATAACCTATCGTGCAACAGAGGTATTTTATATCCTTAGAATATCAATGAATTGACTATTTATTATACAAAATGCTACATATTATAAACATTGATAAGTTCTCTTTATTCAGCTGAAAAAGTTCTCCACGACGATTTTCTGGAAGTTCAAAAGGATCGTTTCTTTTTTGTAACTCATCCTTTCTTTAGCCTAATAATAATAAACAAAAATATGTGATCCTTGCAACTCTGAATGCAGAGTTGTTTGTGCCCGGTGAGGGATGACTATTATTATTTTCCTTGGCTCTCCGAGGCAACTTACAGATGTCATTTAAATTATAGATGAGGATACCCCTGAAAAATCCCACCCTTAAGCATAAAAACTAATAAATAATTACAATTTAATTTCTGTTGTTTGACGTTAAAAGTCGTGACATTCTGTTCTGTGTCGAGTAACTCGACACATAATTCGATCGAATTAAAAAAAGCGATTCTATAACTCGATCTGTTTTGACTTCGGAAATCTTCGGAAATTCGACAAAATAATGAAGCATTCAAACTATTCTGACTTTTAAACGTCAAACAACAAAACTTAAATTGTATTTCTTTAGTCTTAACGTTAATTATTTATTAGGTTTTATTCTTATGGGTGAAGTTCTTCCGTAGTGTTTTCATTTATATTTTAAATGACATCTGTAAATTGCCGCGGGCGCCATGGAAAATAATAATAGTCGTCCCTCCCCGACAACAATTAAATTGTATTGTATTTGGTTTAGCCATAAGCTATAAGATTTATAAATTTTATTTTTTTTATGATGATGGTTGTGGATTTTTCTGGGTATCCTCATCTATAAGTTAAATGACACCATCTGTAAGTTCCATTGGAGCGACATGGCAAATAATAATAATACGGTTGTTCCTCCCCGATACCAGCTATGCTTTCAGAGTTACAGGGATTACTTTTAATGGGGTAAATTGAAAAAGATTATTATTTAATATTATTGTGCTTTGTGCTAAAGAAAGGGAATGACCTAAGGGAAACAGCGAATCTTTCGAACTCTCTGAAAATCGCTGTGAATAGCTTTTTCGGCTGAATAAAAATTACCTACCTTTATTAATTTATATTTTAAAGAGTTTTATGTAATTAATAAATTCTCTTATTGATGTTTCAAGTGGTATGCAGAGTCCCTACTATTTCATAGGGACAGTGTTGCTATTTCTTAAACGGTAACAGATAGAAGGTTGGTTAAATAAGAGAAAAGTTACGCAGTTTTGTGCTTATTAAAATGGTGCCAAGAAACCTTTGATATCTATAGGGAAATTTCGGAAAAAAAATAAAAATTGTCATTTCTTAAAATTCATTCGTTTTTGTCAGATATATTGAATTTCTTTGTATATATTAAATGTTTTCTGGCACCATTTGAATAAGCACAAAACTGCGCAACTTTTATCAAATTCAACCATTTTTCTATCTGTTACCGTTTAAGAAATAGCAATACTGTCCCTGAAACACGAGCTAGTAGGTGCCTATCTAATTGGGAGGATGAACAATGAACCTAGTGAGGCCTAAATGTCATGAGTTAACCCACCCTCGACAAGTTACAGATACTGTCCCTATAAAATAGTAATGACCCCGTATATACTTAATAGAGACAATAAGGCCCTTAATGCAAGGAGATTCAGAAAAGGCACATTGCTGCAGGAAAGGTTCATACCTAATGTCAAAAAAATTCAACTTTAATGATTTGATATCGAATTGACTACTCTAGAGCTATCGAGTTATTTGATCGAGTTTATTGTCGAATTTCGTTTAACGGAAGTGCAATTATATAAAATCAGAGTCGAAGATTTCCGAAGTCAAAACAAATAGAGACTATAGAATCGCTTTTCATAATTCGATCGAATTATGAATCGTATCGAGATCGAGTTACTCGACACAGAACGGAATCCCACCCCAGATATTGTCATTATCTGTCATGGCACGTAAATGTCACGATGCGTTTAACAACTTCAACTCATATTTTGGACTTGGACGTAAACACTATTTTTCTGCATTCACGTTTACGTTAACGTACTGGAAACACTTCAACTCTCTACTATTTCAATCACAATTACGTAAAAAATGTTTCACACATATTAAAACATGTCAAATATCCAGCCACACTACTGAGACTGAGTGTCTCGTCGATTTTGCAATCGATACTCGTTTCTCAGACTTTGATGTCATTGCGAATGAAATTAAGATTTTTCAAAATCCTTTTGATACTGACATTGAAACCCTAGCGCCGGAACTTCAAATGGAAATTATTGATTTACAGTGCAGTAATATAATTAAGAACAAATATCAAAACTCATCTTTGTTGGAATTTTGTAAGTCTTCTACTGGTACAATTTGATAATTTGCATAAATTTGCTCATGGGCTGTTTTCTGTTTTTGATACTACTTGTGTGAGTAAACATTCTCCGAAATGAAGTAGACAAAGAATGTTTGCAGATCTAAGTTAACCGATGAGCATCTTAAATCTCTTTTAATAATTGGTACAAGTAAAAATGGCCCACAACTACAAACTATTGTCAGTGGAAAATTACAATTATATAAATCTCATTAGTATATTTTACAAGTGGACACCCCGTGGTTTCATTCGCATTAATTTAGTTTGATGACACTGGCGGGCCGGATTGATGACACTGGCGGGCCGGATTTGGCCCGCCGGTCGTAGTCTGAAGACCCCTGCATTAGAAGAAAGGAAAAAATGAGAAAAATATAAATCTAAAATAATAAACTGGTGTTTTGGTTAAAAAAAAAAATATGTTTGGTTCGTACCCGAGTCATGCAACACCATGTACATTTATATGTAATTTTATAATGTGGCCCTCCAGCCACCCTTCAAATTTTGTTAATACATTTTTTTAATGTCTCTTACCACAAAGATGATATCGAACTTTTCCACAAGATTGGTATATTTATATTGTAAATTATAAATTATAAAAAATAAAAATCAAATCAATTTACCTGATTTTAATGTTGAAATTGTCATTGTTCCAGGGTAATGCAACTTTTTTAATTTATTTACTATCTCTTCTTTGTAGTTTTCGTGTGTAATGTTCTTTGGATTGGGATATATTTGTTTCAGAAGAGTGGTTACAAGATAAATAAACCCTTTAATGGATGGGGGTTTAATGTTACTTGGATTTATTACTGTCAGATCGAAAATTTCACTTTCTGATATATAATTTTGTACCTGAGGAAATTAATATACAATTATTTAATATACTTATTAGATATTTCTCATACATTTGAGGACCTTGCTGCAGGAAGGGGGCCGTTCCAATTTTGTTCAAATTTTAGTTATTTGATATGTACTTTAAGTAAAAAATGAAGTTTAATTGATTGGTGTAAGAAACAGACAGCTGCTATAATAAATGGCAAAAACATTAACTTTTTTACTTTTATAATAAATGCAAAGATTACTTTCTTGTTTAAGTTTGGTGCATTTCCATTTTTTTAAACAAAGATATACAAGATGTCCCGAAATTAGACGGTCATGTTTTAACAGCGTAATCTGCATCCTAAAATAGAAGTAAAAGTGTATGTAAACATAGATCCGAAAACGTTTTGTTTCCGAGATACAGGGTGTTAAAAGTGAAGTCCTGATGACACATTTTTGTAAATATTTTCTAAACTTTTAAAGATAACTAAGTGAAATTTGGTACAAATGCTAAACTTTTTACACTCTATTTAATGAACTAAACACCAGTTTTTGATCATCTTCATAGGTGGGTAAATTAGGGGAGGGGCTTAGGGTTAAATTGTTTTTTGTTGACCGTTTTTAACATTTTTGACTACCAAATTTGGAAAATCAATATTTTCTTTATAATAAAGCTACTTTTGTTGTATCTCGCTAGGACGCACCATTTTCAAGAGAAAATCATTTGAAAATTTCATGATAAGTTGATGTCATCTTATTCGAAAGTGTAAACAATAATTAGTAAGCCTGTGGAATTAGAAATTTTATTTTAACTTTGGAAAAACCGGTGACTAAAGAAATTTTATAAAATATTTACAAAAATGTGACATCAAGACTTCCCTTGTAACACCCTGTATCTCGAAAACGAAACGTTTTCGAACCTATGTTTATATGAACTTTTACTCCTATTTTAGAATGTAGATTACGCTGTTAAAATGACTCTAATTTCAGGACACCCTGTATTATTATTTATCATACATGTAAATATAGGTCACTCTTTGATTGGAATGTTTTATTTTTGTTAAAAAAGCAGCAATTTTTATAAATAGTTTTTATAAAAGGTCAATTTTATTGATTTTGTATTATTTGTAATAGCTTATCTCAGTTTAACACAAAGACCCTGCATTTTTTGGGCAAAAATTTGTCAAAAGTCATAAATTTTGGATATATTGTAGTACGTGACCTCTAGAGCAAATATGTCCACGATTCCACTTAAATCCTATAACTAGTTTTTAAGCTAAAAATCCGAATTTTGTACTTAATAAAAACAAATTAATTTACATTTTTTGCTAATAAATACATATATTTTGCACAACTTACTCTCTCTTCAGTTACACAACTCTCTTGACGATAACGGTTTGCGCCGACCTACTCGCGCAGCGCATATGCCTCTTGGGGTAAAAGACTGATTTGACATGCGGACATAGGTGTCGGTGCGATTTTATTATTATTCATTTAGCAGTCATAATTAAAAAGTCATTTTCGCATACAAGCCTCAAAGAGAGTTGAAAATTACATGGATGTTGAGTTAAATGAAATATTTACGCGTGGCGTCTGGGGATAACATATGGAAAATTCGATTTTCCTTAACAAAAATAAAAGGTGTTTTTTGCCCATATTTTCACGCAAACCGTGTTCACTAAATGATTATTTAATAGAACTTTGCCACGGAAAACCAAAGGCTTAAATGTTGGAAGTGGCTAAAGAGTTAAAATAAGGACGTAATCTTGTAAGGAAAAATCGAGATTATAACCGATTTTTCCACACAAGCCCATCGAAAGTAGGAAAATGTACATCGTCACTAACCCGAAAAACATATTCGCTTGAGAGGCGCATTGATAAGTACTTTTTTAGGTCGGAAAATGTAACGAAAATGTTTTTCGACTTTTCAGTTATTTTCCCATGAACCAAATAATAATTAGTTGCAATAAAAACGTATGAATTTAAGAGTCCTTAAAAAATAAGGGCTTGAGTGTAGCGGCTGGCCTTCAAATTTTCAGGAAAAGTGATTCTAAGATTATATAACAAGGAGCTTGAGTGTCCGACATTTTCAATGTATTATAGCTAATTTATTGAAAAATAAGTTGAAAAAAAAATCTAGAAATTTCCACCATTTTCCCACACAAGTCATTTGGTATATGCTTTCAAAAAGTAATTCTAAGACTATTATAACAAAGGGCTTTTGAGGGTTGGACATGGAGCATATTATTTATTTACAAAAAAAAAGAGCTGACAAAAATCTATTAATTTCCACCATTTTCCCACACAAGCCGTTTGGCAGATGCTTGGAAAAAGTGATTCTAAAATAATATAAAAAAGGCTTGAGGATTGGAGGATATTATTTCTGCTGACACACAAATTTAGAAATCTTTACACAGGGTTATTATCATTTATTATTTATATTATTTTTCGGTTAGTATTCGCAGATCAACCAACTCAGATCACAAAAATACCACATAAAAAGACAAGAAAAACAAGACAGTGTAAAATTGCACATAAGTTAGTACTTGCTGAGCAACTAAGTACACCCCAATTCCTCATATAAGTAGCGTGGTCACTTTAAGCTGACGTTAGCTACATCGCTGTATCCTGTGAGCATTTGAAAAACTACATTGTATTCCGGAGCACAGCAAAATTTATATTAGCTTGCGTGCCTCGTATTTCTTGTTTCAAGCCACGCAAAATATCAACCAGAATTAAAGTGCAACCGACATCAATTGCTCATCAAAGTGATGGAGTTTGAAAACAGGTGTAAGAAGTATCCAAGCAGGACGGAGTTCTCAAAAAACGGCCCAAGAGAAAGAGATCTTTGATAAATAAATGTTCTGCAAAATCAACCTAACTAAACCCATCATAAATGTTTTGTAGCAAATTAAAAGCAATAACTTGATTTTGTTTGCACCTACTCTTATTTCCCTGGAAGACAATGTAGGAATATACCCAGCATTAACTGCACGTGATCGTGCTGCCCATATGAGGCATTGGATTGTACTTAAGACTTGAGCAATCGCGGTCACATAATTTTCGCATCCCAATGTAGTTTTTAAAATGCTCACAGGACACAAAGATGTAGTTAACGTAAATTAAAAGTAATCGCGCTGCTAATATGATGGATTGAAGTGTACTTAGTTGCACATCAATTACTAACTGGTAGACGCGAGCAATCGCGGTCAAATAGGAGTTATTGTAAATGTGCCTACGGTACTGTCAGGCCGAAACTTAATATTTTACTTCAATAATAAAAATCCGTTTAATGCTGTCTCGACTTTTACTCCAAACGAGAGAAAGACCGTACCATTCCATCTCGCTTGGTTCTCGACCGCCAGATCAAAGGCACCGCTCGGAGTTATGGAGCTAAATAATGGGGTAAGCTGTGTACTTTGTTCAAAATCCCCACACAATAGGTTTTTTCGTTCGCTGTTGGTGTAGTTTCCACCAGTTACACCAATTTATTTACCCTAATGTACTTCCTCCTTATTCCTTATACACATGTCGAGTGTAATTCACTCCTGCTAAATAGCGGGTGGAGAAAATATCCACCAGTGTACACCATATCGCCGACAGGAAGGTATAGTGGGTTTTACACCGGGCCAAACGAAAGGTTTAGTGTAAGTTGGTGTAGTTCATTCCTACACCAGTGGGACGAACGAAAGAACCAATAGAGAACGATGCGCAATTATGTAATACAAAGTTTTTAAGTTTTTATATTATAAATGAAATAATAAAATCTAAAATATGATAGTAAATGAAGGAAAATCAAAACTTAAAAATAATGAAAAATAAGAACCAATTTGGGGCTGAAAGCTTTGATAATATAAATATGTTTTTGAAGTTTTATTAAACCCAAGAAATCAACAAAAAAACTATAGTTTTTTACAGAACTAATGAAGATATTAACTTTCTTATTTTGTATAGGTATACAATTTCTAAAGGATATTTTTAATAGAAAAACTTTTCTGACTCAAAACCAGTTATACTTCCAGTCAGTTAGGGTGAGCAGTTACAAAAAAATATTTTTAAAGTCGGCAGATTTCGACTAAAATTGGTAACTAAGAATGTTAGAAGTCAAAGATAAGATATCTTAAAAAAGTTTTTAAAATTCAAAATGGCGTTGAAAGGAATCGCATTTAATCAAAAAATATTCCCCTTGAATTGAAATAATAAAAATCGTCCTTTTGGTTTGTGTACCTGGACCATTTTAAAAGCAACCAATCATTATTGTTCAATAACGGTGAACTTGACGAAGAATACCGAACGGATGCGAAGTGAGATTTGGGGTGGGATCAAGAGGAAGATCGATGGAGAGAGAAATATGAAAAAGGGTGTTTGGTTTGGTGGTTTTAATTTTAAATTATTAAAATTTAAGTACTTAGGCGTTCCCTGTTTTTACAATTTCTATATCGAGAGAAGTTCTGGGTAAAATACTTCACCGATTTTTTAATAGTAAAATTATTACAATATATCAAGTTAGCTTACCCAAGCTAATACAACTAAAAATATATATTTTTTGATTCATAGAATTGAAAAATACAGTGCAACTAAAAAAAAAGTATATTTTTTAAATACCAATCAGAATAAGAAGAAAAGTATTATTTTGGTAATACACATAATGTAACTATCAAAAATTAATTCCTTTACACAGAGAGTCATTTGAATTTTTGTTAAAAAATATGTCTATACGTGGTTATATTTGGTATTCTTGGATGAGTTTTTAATGCAACAATCACAACCGTACTGTAGCATTTTATTTCTGCCTCAACTTTTACTTCCAATCACAATTTCTCAAAATTCTAAAAACTTTGTATTACATAATTGCACACAGCCATGTATGGGTGAAAATTGTGAACATAAATATATAGGGTAGCGAAAAAGTCTGAAAACAAGGTGTTTTCCTTGAAACGAATAATTATGAAATTATAGGGTGATGAATGGGATTGTATTATGTAAGGACGTGTCAAATTTATGTGACGTCAGCGTTTAGCGTACCATCTTGAATTTTTTTAAATGGCGACGTAATTGGAGAGATCAGAGAATAGCTTATTTTTCCTCTGTTCAAGAATACTAAAAATGTACCACATTATTAATGTAATACAGTCCTATTCATCCCCCTAAAATACCTTATTGTCAGACTTTTTGCAACCCTGTATGTATAGGATCAGAAAAAATAATAACAATGTAATTCACCACCCTACAATTTCATAATTATACATTAATTCGTTTCAAAGAAAATACCTTGTTGCGAGACTTTTTCGCTACCCCGTATGTAGGTTTCCATTACAAGCAATCAAAAATATAAATTAATTTTTAATTGTTATAAAATTAAAAAAAAAAAAAAATAAGAAATTGTCAACTTTAACTCCATGTATCTTAAAAACTAGCCATAATAATTTAGTGAACTCAAAACTTCAATAGAAAGCCATTTTGCAAAAGAAAAGCGCAGAGCCCTTTTAAGTAATAAAACGCTTGGTAGAAATAATGTCAATTTTCAATAAATAATTATGGTTCTCAACCATTTTTTTGTATCGAATACGAGTAGCTGGTAAATTTATAGGGATTGTAATTGGATACTGATATTATCTTGAAACGTCCAGTATACTATATCTGACACGTTTTAAAATGTTATCATACATATATAAATCAAAGTTAAAAATTACTTTTTTGTACTGCTGAGCTACCCAAAGTGAATTAGTTGACAGCTTTTGAATGCTTTGTTTATCCTTCAATCCTGTAGCTGGAGAAACCTGAAAATTAAAAATATTGTAATGAATGTCACTTCATAAATACATGTACCACAATACAAAAAAAAAATAAGAAAGCAAATAAAAAAGTAAACGCAATCAGTATAACAGAACTGTTTAAGTAACATATTCTTAAATTTAAACATAACATTTTCCAAAGTGCCCCTGTGTTCAAGTCAGCTGCGATCAAACACATGCATTCAATAAGTACAAGCTAAATATATTTTCTGCAAAGCGTGATAAATCTCAAGTTCTCGCTAAACACTCACTCCACATTCAGCCTTCTACACGACAGAATGCCTGAGAGTTAGCATATATTTCGTTCTCGCTAAAAAAAATTATTTTCACCCTTCGATCAATTCACTTCATTTTACAAACATAACTACATGAGGTTTAAGTACAAGCAAGTAACTAATACATTTTAAAAGTAGTGTAAATATATAAATAATTGTATTCTCATTTTTGTTGCCGAATAATTGAATACAGTGTGCGTTCGTCAGCGTTTAATTTTATAGACAAGACTGTACCGGGTTAACCCGATGAATTAACAGTAGATTTATGGACTCAAAATAAGTTTATTTAACTAAACTTACCTACAGATTCGGATTAAATTTTTCTTGTGCATTGCGAATTAACAAGAGGAACAGCGACAGTATCATAAAAAGCGAGAATGCGCTATATCCCACTTTTGATATTGATTGATTGATTAGTGAGGAGCTGTTCCTCACAGCACACCTAAGGTGTAAATTTGATTTTATTTAGTTCAGTAATGTACCTACAATACACGTTGGGATGTACACCTAAATGTAGCAGTTGCAGGAGTATTTTACGATAATTTATTTGAAATGAATTAAAACAATATCTTATCTCCCAACTTATTTATTTGAATCCTTTTCCGCCATAGCAGATATGAAAAATAAAATAATAATTCTGGTAAAAAAGCAAGAAAAATAACTACTAAAAATTTAAAAAATTACACAAAATTAAACATTCCTGTGACGAAGTCACTATATTTTCCTTTAAAAAAATGTTTAGTTCAAGTTAATATCCACCTGTTAGCGTTCTCAAGAACCACTGTATTTTTTTCCCTAAAAACATTTGCGAAAGCCCCAGTAATTTAAAATATATCATTATTTACTGAAATTTTAATCCAATTTTTGTAAATTATCTGATCATTTTCGCAAATGTCAAAAGGGCATTTTTCCAGTCTTCCGAGTTGTAAATATTGGATACTCCCACTCCGAACCATTCGGAAACCGAATTAGTCCGAGCGTAAAATATAAAACCATATTCTGAAAGGATTCCTTCTCTTTTGCTGCTGTTTCGTATGCAGTTTTCTCGAGTGCTTAAGTTCGAGTTAACTGTTTACCGCCAGTATCGACAGTTATATTATCGACACCGACTGTGTGAAAACTGTGGAGATTATAAGGTAAGATCTTGTCCTTAGTAGCCATTATCAGTAAAATTTAATTCTTCCTTGAAGTCGACGGTCGCATTAACAAAATAAATTATTTGTGATGGTCCGAGAAAAATTGGCCTATTTGTTGGTCGAACATTATTTCGTTAGGATTTCTGAATTTTCGTAACGAGGGGCCATTCCAGCAAATATGGCAGGGTGGCTTCGAGGGCGGAACTTCTTAAAGCCGCAATAATAATTGAATTTCCAAGTTTGTAACGAATACTGTTTTGTGAGTTCTGAAGTTACATAAGTGAAGCAAGTCCAGCAAATAACGTACGTTTATTTCGCCGACTTAACTTCTCTACATCCAAGGTTTCCGTAGGACTTTTCAGCAATCAGTGTAATTTTTAAAAATGTAATTTTTCCATTATTTGTAAAAGCTCTCGGGAAATCCTTCACTGGGTCAACAAAGTCAAATACAAATGGTTTTTTCTTTATTAATCTCCAGAATTCAGCCATTTTAAAAGATACGAATACTTGATGTTTTATGGCCAATTAAAACAAGCAGGGACAATTTTTTTATTACGATCATAAGCATCTCATTAGTAGGAGGGCAACAGACATTTTAACAAAAAAATTTATCTGTTAATTTTTGGCATTAAAATCGGAAACTATAAAGTTTTTACTCAAAAAAGTTACTCTTGTTAGATGTAGCTTTGACGTATCCTTTACGAAAAAAAAAAAAAAAAAAAAAAAAAAAAAATGGATTTGAACTCGTCATGATACAAATTAATTTGACACACTGCTTGTAGGCAGGCACTTAGTGAATAGTGAAACAATTTAAACACAGTAGTACCCTAGGTTCTTTAATTTTTAAATAAACTACAACAAATCATAAATGTTCAAAAGGACCACCACATATTCTTGAATTCTCCTTAAAAAGGTAAAATGCAATCTTTGCATTGTCCCTGTCTTGTTTTTCAAAATATTAGCTCCAGCTATAATTCTGTTTTGTAAATGTTGCATATTATTAACTGGAGTCGAATAAACTAGAGATTTTAAAGCAAGTCAGATCTTGCAGGCCATCCTGAAGGAGCATCATTTCCTCTTCCTATCCATCGTTTGTTAAAATGTTGTCTAATATTTGCTGTAAAATAGGATGCTGCAACCATAATGAATACACATGTGACAAATTAATAATTGGTGGTATGTATAAAGCATGCTAATACTTCAAGTGCCTCCTTCGTTCAAGTACTATCTACTCATATGTACCTTATACATAGAAGGTACTTCGCCTTAGAAGTATGCACTCCATGATATCATAGCATATCCTATAAATGGGATGCTTAGTAGTATTTACTTCAGTTTTAGTGAAGTTGGTCTATAAGGAACTTCGGCGGTTGCAAATTAGTAATAATTCAATGAAATGGCCGCTTTTATAAATGTGGGTCCTAGGCAGGGGCGGCTTGTGACAAAAATTTTGGGGGTTCACAGTAGCAGAATATAGATCCCGGTACAGATATAGGTAAAAAACTGTGTTTTTAGAAAGGTATATTATAAACTTTCTAAAACACTGGAAGTTTTTTTCATGCATCTGTACGGATACCTATATTCTGTCACTGTAAACCCCCCCACAAGCCGCCACTGGTCCTAAGAATGGGTACCATCTCAGAAGAAGATACAACGATGATACAACGATCATGTATATAGTAAATTATTCAGGTAAATAATGTAAGCTATGCCGTAATTAAATATTTTAAAAGGAGTGACAACAGTAGTTCAGACGAAAGTAATATAAACAGTGACGTTAACGAGACGAGTGATGATGAACTGAATACTGCTAGTACGAGTTATGTTAACAATTGACTAGAATTATGATTTGAAAGTAACTTTAAAATATATTTTTATAAAACTCATCTTGTAAATTTGAGGTGATGATGAACTGAATAATGCTAATACAAGTTATGTTAGCAATTGACTAAAATTATGATTTGAAAGCAACTTTAAAATATATTTTTATAAAAATCATCTTGTAAATTTCAAAATTTTTTGCACGGTTGAATAGAGAATAAAACCCCCTTTCAAATCAGCTATCACTCACCACCCCTGCAATTTAAATTTTTCGAAAGGGTTGCTCCCCTCCAGTAAGGGATGAAATTAAGGGTAAACTATTCATACAAAAATGTACATTGTAGAAATCAAAAATTGACGAGTCTCGGCGATTTTCCTAACAAGACTCCAGTAACGAGTTAGTTAGGGGGGGTAAGACTTATGATGCTCACTGTATATCTGTAGTGTACTGTAAACAAATCAGTGATGTTCTTATATTTGTTAGCTGTAGCTGTGTCATTATAGTGAACGGTTCGTTTCGACCATAATTATTGGTATTGTGAAATGAAAAGTAAAATGGATCATAATTTATAGTTTTTCAGTAGTTTACATTGAAGTTAATTAAATTTAGTATTTCTGAGTCTTGAATATAATTATTTATTATTTTATGTAAGAAACACAGGTTTAATTCGACTCTTCTGTGTTCTAATGTTGAAATATTAAGACAGGTCCAATAATAAAATTGTCAATAATTTCAGCCCATATATTAATTGAAGGGGTAAGTGGATGAAGGGGTTATGTTATAAAAAATTGTTTTTGAGCAATTAACTATTTAATTTGATTCATTGGCATTTTTGTGAGTTAGTAAGAGTGATTATAAACTAATTAGACGCACAAGACCAGTCCAAGAGGCAGACACATATGAACTTAATTAATTATTCATCAACAAAAAAAATGTCACATAACCCCTTCATCCACTTACCCCTTCAATTCTGAATGTATGTTGAAAATGGGTTATTTTAGTTGCTCTCGGATTTTCATTAGCGTAAACATGTTCATTATTTCAATTCGTCGACGGTCGAAGACGTGTCGATATTTCTCCTCAATAATCTAAGTTTTCTGTCGGAAAAAATGTACTTTATATCTTAAATTTTATACTGTTTTTCTTAGTGAATATTACGCTTTTAGTGGACAATAAAATCCCATCTGTTCACAATAAAATTCAGTGCAATTTCCTGAAAATGATGCATTTATACGATAATTAATGTCGAATTTTTTTCTCAATACAACAAAAACTAGTATGATAAGCTTTACTTCGATGTGATTTAAAACGTAGTACCGTCAATAAGGTTCGCAGTTTTCAGTAAAATTGTTATAGTCCGGTCATTTTGTGCAATTTTCGATTGAAAAATGTTTTGCATAAAATGTAAATTTAAAGAAACTAAAGAAGATCAGCTAGTAGTTTGTGATAAGTGCCTGTGCAAACTGTGTCAATCTTGTAGCAAACTTACAACAACAGAATATAGAGCCGCAACAATGAAGCAAGCCAGAATGTTAATATGTCTTTGTTCTACTTGCAGACCAACCATCTTTTTAAATCCTTGTGATGATTATACAAAAGAAGAAATAAAGGTAATGAAAGATAACATCGGTACTTTAACTAACAGCATAACTGAACTTTCAACAAATCTCATTACATCTCTCTCTAATGTTAAAGAAGGGACCAACAATAATATTGAAAAAAGTGTCTCTCAATATATCAAACAAGAAATTGAAAAACTAAACAAAGAAATAAAAAATGAATTTATCCAGATTAATAGTGAAGTCAAGACTCTTCGAGAAAGTAATCTAGATATGGTAAAACTTCTTACTCATGCTCCATCTAATACCTTAAAATATAATGCAGCTGTGAAGCATAACTTAACTCCGTTAAGCAGCTCCCCCATTCAACTTACTGTTCCTTCTACAATCAACAACAATAACTTTAGGCCTTCTAACAACACCTTTAAGAATAGTCAAAATACAGTTTTACAATTGACTACCTCAAATCGACAATGTGAGAAACATTCTTACATAAAAAAAAGAAGCAATCAAGTTGGTACTTGTAACACAATTTCAGATGGTGATGCTGATGGATTTGAAGGCATTGAATCTAAGAAGAAAAAATGTGGTTATTCATCTCACGTTTCAAAAAGGAAGTAACAACTGATAAGATCGTTAACTACATATCAAAAAGAGCTAACACTGATAGCAAAGATATTTACGTAAAAACTTTAGATACTCAAACTCAACAAATTAGCAGCAGCAACAGCTATATGGTAGGCGTTGACCCTAGTATATATAGTACAGTAAATAATACCTGTTTCTGGCCGAAAGGTGTATCCTTTGAAAGATTTGACTTCCGAAAAGGTCGCCGCTTCCTGGATAATCCCCGATACAGAACAGCAGAGGCCAACTGGAGCATAAATGACATAGCTTCCTCAACGACTGAAAAACCTAATAATAAAAACGCTAGTAATGCTCAAATAACCAATCACCAGACAACACAGAATAATAGACATGTTCACCATTTTTCCCCAAGAAAGAAATTAACTTTGATACACCAAAACCTGGCAAGTACTAACAATAAATTTCTAAAAATTCAACAATTTTTAAATGAATCGTGCCCGGATGTCTTTTTAGTCACTGAACATTGGCAATCTTCATCTCAATTAGCACATTTCACTTTTGATAATTTTGCGTTATGTTCCTCCTTTTGCCGACCAGAAAAAGCATGGAGGAGTTGCTATCTATGCCAAAGCCAATCTTGGAATAAGAATGGTTGATTTGTCCAATTTCTGTGTTTCTAAGGAATTTGAATGCTCTGGTATTAAAATCATAACTCAAAAATTAATTATAATCGTTGTATATCATCCTCCACAAAATACTGTTTCTAGTTTGTAAAAATTTCTTGACAACTTTGATCTTTTGCTTAGCCAATTTGACTTGCACAACCATACAATCATGTTAGGTGGCGATTTCAATATAGATTTACTAAAAAATACACCACAAAAACGAAAGTTTGTAGATTTTGTCGGGGTCTAAAACCAACAATTAACGAACCTACTCGTGTGACTAATACCAGAATCACTTGTTTAGATAATTTTATCACGAATATCCATTCTTCTAAATTTAGTGTCCAAATTTTAAAACCTTGTCTATCAGATCATTTTGCTCAGCTTATTATAATACCATTTGAGGATACATTTTGCAGAGAAAACGAATATAAACGTAGCTTTTCTAAACACAACATAACTGAATTCTGTAATTACCTATCAAAAGAAAATTGGACAAATGTCAAGGCCGAATCTTGTCCAAATTTATCCTTCGATAATTTTTTTGCAACATTTACACATTATTTTAATATCTGTTTCTCACTGAAATGTTATCCTTCACCAAAACATAAATACTCACATTATAATCTAGCTAGTTCCCCAGAAATTGTCCATACAAGAAATATTTTAACTACTCTAGGAGATTTAAAAAACATTTATCCTCAATTAAAAGACTCATATACTGCAGTGGACAAGTATTACAAAAATCTCTTAAGCAACTCAATGAAAAACTAACATGATGCGATGATTTCTGCAGAAAATAAAACAAAAAAAATGTGGGAAATAATAAAAAAGTAGTAAACGCGTAGGGCACAGGGATGAAATAAAAGTGAAAGAGAATGATAAGATTTTAGACCCTGCTTCCACTGCCAAAAAATTTAATGATTACTTTTCATCCGTGGGTAATAATTTATCACAGAACTTCAACAAACAAATTAATACAGACTACGTTTCTTCGACCACAAAAAATCAAATAAACTCAATGTTTTTACCTCATATTACCGAGGAAGATGTTTCTTCAGCTATTTCTAAATTAAAATTCTCCACAGCTTGTGGTTTCGATGAAATTTCAAGTATATTACTTAAAAAGTGTAAAACGCCCATTTTATTACCATTAACCTATCTTATTAATATTTCTTTCCAATCGAGAATTTTCCCCAAGTCATTAAAACGAACTATAATCTTACCCTTATTTAAAAAGGATAATCCTAATGACATCTGCAACTATCCACCAATTAGCCTGCTTTCTACATTTTCAAAAATTTATGAGATAATCATGTATCATAATTTAAGTAACTTCTTACCTGGAATGGTCTGATAAATGATTCACAGCATGGGTTTATTAGAGGACGGAGTATTGACACGGTACTCTTTTACGTTTGTTAAAGAGATTATAGATGCAATTGACAATCGATCTGCAGCTATTGGTTTGTACATAGACCTTACAAACGCCTTTGACTGTGTCAATCACTCGTTACTTCTGATTAAGCTCGAGCATCATTTAATACGTGGTATAGTACATGAATGGTTCAAGTCTTATTTAGAGGCTCGTACTCAAAAAGTTTCTATTAGACCTTTTTGTCTGAGTCTGTAGAAATTTCTTTAGGAGTACCGCAGAGCTCGGTACTTGCTCCCCTCCTCTTCATCATCTACACTAACGATTTAAAATGTGCTTTAGGCCATGCAATTAATTCACTTGTCTGTTATGCTGATGACACAAATATTCTCCTAAAACTCAAAGATGTTTCTAATCTCCAAGCAAATCTGAATTTAATATATTCAAGTCTACAAGAATGGATGTATTACAACAAGTTAACAATAAATAATGATAAAACTGCCTGCATGGTTTTTACATCTAATAAATCTAATCTAAAAATTGGCAACGGAATACATATAAATGCAACTTTCTTAGAATATGCTAATAATATAAGATTACTTGGTATTTATCTGGATTGTCACTTAACTTGGGATGAACATGTCGAAGGGCTTAGCAAAATATTATCGTCGTCTTGTTTTGCACTTAGTGTCATGACTAAACAATGTAGTAGCCATATAACAAGAACTCTATATTTTGCTAATTTTCATAGCCATTTGAGGTATGGTATTATACACTGGGGTCTCTGTAAGGATTTCAATAGAATTTTTGTCATCAAAAAATATGCCATATTTAACCTTAAACCTGGAGAAACCTGCAGAAGTGCCTTCAAAGAGCTCAATATTTTACCTGCCATCGGAGTTTACATCTATGAGCTTTTATGTTAGATGCAATTTTTCCTCTTTAACTTTACACAATGCAGATCATTCATACTCTACTCGATATAAAAATTCACTACAGTCTAATCAACACAATACTGCTCTATATCAAAAAGGGGCATTTTTTAAAGGATGTATGTTGTACAATTTAATTTCAGATTATGTTAAAAATGCTCAAACAACAGATTTAAAAAAAAAAATCTTAAAAAAATACATAAACCATGTTAATCCATATACCCTTGAAGAGTTTTTATCATTTCACTAAATCCAATTTTAATTACAATTTACATTTGTGTTTAATTTTATTATCTATATCATTATAAGTGTCGCTAATGTTAATTATTATTTTGCATTTGTGTACTATTTTTTTTTACTATTATCATTATAACTGTCGCTAATCTTAATTTTCATTATTATTATTATTATTATTATTTGATTCGTATTTTATTTTATTACTATTATATCTGTCGCTTATTTTATTTATATACTCATGTACCTTGACTTGTTTTTTATGTATTATTCATATAAAAATATATTATTATTATTATTATTATTATTATTTATGTAAATTAGTTATGCCATGTCTAGTAAAAGAAGCTTCTTCAGTAAAAAGAATTTGTCAATGGAAGTTTTCATTTTGAATAAAATTTCAAAACACCACGTATTTCAGAATACATGGGTAAAAGTTCTTGGACCTGCTTGATATGGTAAGTATATATTAATTGTTGTTCTTTTAAAACTGCGTGAATAATACTTTTGGGGAACTGCCATGTTATATTCTACATGTCTAGTACTAACTGTCGAAACGTTATAGACCGCATTTAATATTTGTTCCTCAACTTCTACAGTTCTTGTCGTAAGCGTTCGCCCTCGATCCATATTTCATGATTCAAATCTACCATTTTCACAATGTCACCTTTCAATATTTTTTGCAAATGTTTGATGATTTGGGACTTTGAGATAAGGACATCTCTCTCTATATACTCGAACACTTTCGCGACCATTTTAGTTAAAAATTATTATACTAAAAGCATATTAACTTGTTCATTGTGTGTATAAGTTTGATTCGTCGTAAAGGGTTTGTTTTGGTGGAGTCGTGGCTGACTGATAATTTCAAGGATAATGAACTCTGCTTTAGCGGTTACAGGGTCTTCAGAGCAGACAGGAACATACATACTAGCTCAAGAACCAGAGGTGGTGGTGTCCTAATTTTAGTTAAAAGTACATATATAACATCACATCTTACTACTCAGTTTATTAATGTTGAACATTTATTTGTTTCATTGTGGATCAATAATGAAACTATTATTTTTGGCGCTGTCTACATTCCACCAGGGTTAAATCATGATGCTTATATTGATAATTGTTCTGTTGTTGAGCATATGGTGGAAAGCAGCCCTAACAATAAGCTATACTTTTTTGGGGACTATAATCTTCCACATGCTGCATGGAATTATTCGTATGATGATGGTATCTCTGTCTCTTGCCCTGCAGAATATCAAGCCGTAATAATTAGTGAGAGTTTTTCCTACTTGAATTTGAGCAACGCCAATGGAATTCCAAATCAGCACGGTATATTCCTCGACTTATGTTTTTGTAACAATGACGCTAGGAATTCGGTTACTATCGAGAATGCTGTAGACACCTTATTGCCTAATAACTTCCACCATGCTGCAATTTCATGTGAATTAACTGTCAGTGCTATTATTAGTCCCTTGTCTTGTGACATTGTTTTTTATGACTTTAAAGAAGCGGATTATGTAGCTTTAAATAATTATTTTGCTCCAATTAATTGGGAGGGTATTTTAGTCAATAATGATATTAATGTTAGTGTTGAAATTTTTTATCAAATTTTAAAATTGTCATTAGCTTTATTTGTACCTGTTAGGAGATATAAACCATCAGTATACCCTAGATGGTTTTCAGCTGAACTTAAAAAGTTGATTTCTCGCAAGAAGGCAGCTCATGCTGTATTCAAAAGTACTCGCTCAGCTGTTGATTACTTAAATTTTTCTAACCTTCAGTCTCAATGTAAAAATTTATCAAAACTAAATTATGAAAATTATATTTCTGGTATAGATCTGAAGGTTTGTGAAAATACAAAATACTTCTGGAACAAGACCATGATATTCTCAGTAGAATGTATTATAATGGTACAATTGCTGATAATGGGAAATACATCAGTAATTTTTTTGCTACGCATTTCTCCAGTGTTTATAAGAAAGATATTGTAGATGAGCCAAACCTTCATTATAATGCTTTTAACCAGCCTGATATTCCCTTTATACAGTTTTCCTTAAGTGATGTTTATGATGGTATTAACTCCCTAAAAGATAAATTGAGTTATGGTCCAGATGGAATCCCTGCTTATTTTTTGAAAAAATGTAAATTCACTCTTTCCAAACACTACAATTTTTATTTAATTCCTCTTTGAAATTACAACAGTTTCCTGCAAAATGGCGTGATAGTTTCATTAGCCCCATATTTAAAAATGGTCAGAAAGATGACATAGTTAACTATCGCCATGTAGTTTTACTTTCTGCAATACCTAAATTATTAGAATTATTGTTATATAAACCTTTGTCATGGCATTGCAAAAATATTTTGATTGAACAACAGCATGGGTTTATGGGAGGTAAGTCTACTAATACAAATTTACTGCTCTACGAACATTATATCATTTCTGCCTTCGAGAGGGGGTGTCAGGTTGACTCAATTTACACTGACTTCTCGAAGGCATTTGACACGGTGAACCATGATTTGCTTTTAAGGAAACTAGTGAAATTCGGGTTTCCAAACTACTTAGTGAAATGGTTAGAAAGTTACCTGCAATCCAGGGTTCAATATGTCAAAGTTAAAAGTTTTACTTCGATTTCAATAAATGTAAGTTCAGGTGTCCCCCAGGGATCTCATTTGGGACCATTACTATTTAATATATTTATTAACGATGTGGCTTCAGGATTTAAATATTGTAAGTTCCTACTATTCGCCGATGACCTGAAATTATTCATGGAAATCTTAAACTTACCTGACTGTTTGAAGTTACAGGATGATTTAAACTATTTTATTAATTGGGATTTAAATAATGCCATGTCTTTAAATCCACGTAATGTTTTTCAATCACCTTCACAAGATCAAAAAACCCTATACATTTTTTTTATAATATCAATACTACTGTTTTGGAGAAAGTTAGTGAAATCAAGGATCTAGGTGTGATCTTCGATAGTTCTTTGACATTTGTCCCACACATGAGATCCATCATTAGTAGAGCTCTGAAAACATTGGGATTTGTGACCAGGAACTCTAGGGAATTCTCTGTGCCTACATTCCGAACCTTTTACTTAACACTAGTGCGCAGCATCCTCTTATATGCTTCACCAGTCTGGTCACCTCATTACCGGACTCATATTTTAAATTTAGAAGCAGTTCAAAATAGGTTTCTAAGAACTTGTCAGTGGAGGTTACATATGCCTTATCTTTCTAAGAGGGAGCTTAATAACCATTTAAACTTATTGTCAGTTGAGAAAACGTTAATTAGTAATGATATTTTATTTCTTTATAACCTCCTGGAAGGGAATATAGCTTGTCCGGATATGTTGGAGCTAATAAATATTAGAGAGAAACCATTATTTTCAATTAGCTTCCATCATACGAACTACGGACTCAACAGTCCTTTAACCAGATTTCAAAGGAAAGGAAATGAAATTAACAGACACTGATCTTTTGGGAGTTAGTCGGTTTAGGTTTAAAAATCAGCTGAGGGAGTACTTATCGAGTTAGCTTTAGCTCTAAGTTTTTTTCTAAGTTTTTTTGTGATATTTAAGTTTTCTTTTTCTTTTTTGTGTGATACTTTAGGTTAGGTTTAAAATATCTACTGATAATAATTATTTTGTAAAAAGAGATTTTCCGTAAATAAATAAAATTTAAAAAATACATTTAAATCGTTATCTGACACTTCTACTGACAACATAAACATACAGATATTTATCATAATACACTTTTTATTAAAAGATACACTTTTCATAGAGACATATTCGGTGCCTTGAACACCTAAAGATTCCTACAGGCAGCGTTCTGTATGTCACGTATAAAAAATATTATTATTTCATTGAAACAATCTTTCATAGTAGGTACTAAGGATTTTGAACATGATGATATGAAAAGTACATTTTTTTTTTCGAAAAGGGTACATCATGGCGATATCAAACAAGAGTAACTCCATAGGTTCCTATTTTAATGCCAGAAATGTCAAAAAGTGACAGATAAAAAATTAGAGAAAATGTTCGTTGGCCTCCCCCTAATAAGACATTTATGAATGCAATATAAAAAGTATTTCTGCTGCTTTTTATTGTATTTAATACTATTCGTACCAAGTTTGATCTTTTAAAATGGCTGAATTTTGGAGATTAAAGAAAAAAAAAACATTTTTATTTAACTTTACAACTTTTTCACCATTTTAATCTTTATTTAACTTTGAAAAAGTTTACAATTTTTTATCTACATAAATTTTAGTCTAGTCTAGTCAGAGCATAGTCTATGCAACCATCCATTCTCCTTACATAGATACGTAACAATTCTCATGCACTCCCACCTTACATACAGATTCTAGGACATTTAGGGTGTAAAACTTATTAATATAAAAATAACATGAAATATACATAAAGTATAAAATATAAAATTTACATAAGTAGAGACATTACAACACATTACAGATTACAAATTTTTCATTTCGCTGAAATTCCGCAGGCGAGTAAAAAGAATTTTTAAGCAGAAATTTAAGCAAGACTGATTTAAATTTATTTACATTCTTAATAACACCAAATTAACTAACCACCTGATTATAGCATAAGATGCCCTGGTAGGTTGCAGAGTTCTACCTCAGTGCCAGACGTGAGTATGGTAAGCATAATTCATTGGCTTGTGTTATTTTTTAAGTGCTTTGATTTATTCATATAGATAAATGTAGTTATTGTTAAGATATAGAGACAGGGTAGTGTTAAAACTGCCAGTGGGATAAACAGGTTTCTGCATGGTTCCCTCATCTGTGCACCTGTCATGCATCTAATTATTTTCTTTTGTATGACAAACACATTATGCATGTGTGCTGAATTTCCCCAGAATGCATATGATAGCTTGGATTAAACCAGGCCAAAGTAGGCTAATTTGAGTACTTGTTGCATTACAGTTCCATTGAGAGTTCTAATTAGAGAACATAAGATACTTAGATTTGAGATTAATTTTTGTGTATGTGCTTCCGTCAGTTTGTGATTAACAGTTATACCTAGGTATTTAAATTGAATTACCTGCTCAATTGTGGTACACTTGATTATTATTAAAGGTGATGTATTTTTAGGCTGAAATAGCATGAACATGGTTTATTTTTATTAACCAGACCATTTTTATACCATATGATCAGCAGTTTGGTTTGCATCAGCCACTGTGTTGAAATCGATCGTTGGCTACTATCTGAGTGGTGTCATGAATGTCTGCCATGAATATAATGAAGAGCAGAGGAGCTAAGTTGGTATATATGTATGTTTGGTTAAAACAACTTATTTTGAGTTCATAAATCTGTGGTGGCTCCATGTACACACAATTTCCAGACACCCTGTATAAGTTAGAATAATTATTTTTCACTTATATGGTGAGATACCTCACAATTATTATAAAAATGTAATGTGTAATTTTGAAATATAAATATTAATATTACATTTGCATCCCATAATGATCTACTGAATGGATTATGTTGGGTTTATTATTTGTTAGACAAGGCAGACTTGGTGATTTTTATTCATATTTGAAATTATATACTTAATATAAATTATTATAGTCATAAATTCACAAAATGTTACTGTATCAAATCAGTTCAAATTAGCTGAATTATTTTAAAATTATTAAATAATTTAATTTAAGAAACCGCTTTCTATTTATTCACCACCATAATATAACGGTTAAGGATATATTTAGTTTTTTTTCCTTAGTTAAATGCAGGTTAAATGGCACTGGTGTATAAAACCAAATGGCCAAGGCTTACTTATAATTAAACATTAAGAATTATATTTATATAATCATGGATATTTTTACTCTGAAGTTAATTTTATTGATCTGTTATTTAAACAGACCTGTTTTTTATTGTTTGTTAGATATTTTTCTTTAGGTATTTTCTTTGGGCAATACACATATTTTATTTATTTACACAGGGCACAAGATACTTAACATTTTTTGCAGAGGACCTCCTGGGCAGGAATTGACTTACACAGGGAAATTTAAATGTATATTTTTTTGGTATTCTATTTAATATGGCAATTACATCCATCTGGCTCGTAATGGAAGGTGATATCATCCCACTCATTTTCAACCTAATCTTTAGATTTATTTATCTAGTTAATATTAGAATTTATACTTACTCTTGATCCACGGCTACCTACACTACCAATAGATGAAGGGGTAGCATAGCTAAAACCATAACTTCTTTGTCTTGTCAAAGGCGTAGTCTTTAATAAATTAGATTTTCTTTCCACAGAGTTCACTTTGAATTTTACTGCACTTGACTCCCTTTGTTGACTTAATCTAGAATACATCATAAAATAAGAAAATTAATTATTGTGCACACTACTTACATTCAAGAAAAAGGTAAAACAATCATCTCATTTTTTATTGTAGGTATACCTAACTGAAATAAAAGGAATGGCTGATAATGTTTTATTTTGAATATATTTCATTCATTTCCAACCTGCCACATAGGTATACATAGGTATTTATATTGAAATTATATTATATTCAAAATTGTACCTTCCTAGAGAATTTGATCTCTTTCTTGCAGTTGCATCTTTACTACCAGTACTTGGGCCAAACAACCGTACTGGGATATGACTACTACTATTAGATCTTCGTTGCATTTTTTTTATTTCATAAAATATTGTTTTGCCTAAAATTTAAAAATTATTGTTACTGAAGAAAATGCATGTGGTCCAAATTCAAATTATGCAGCCCTTGTGGCTGGCATTACCAGTAGAAAAATAAATATATTTTGATATTAACAAAAATAATATTCGGATCACTTTCACCTGTTTACTGTTTATCACAGAACACCATAGAAAAATAAACACTGTTTATTTTATTATTTCAGAGACAACAGAGATAGGAAAATTTGTTCAGTGGTCCATTTAAATTACATATATGACTTCCTTTCTCTTTTATATTGATCTTTACATATATTTATCTCTCTCCAATAAAACTAACACCAATCTTAGAGGTCGCTGAAGTTGCTGGTTTTTTGACGTCGACGTATCGATTAGAACTGACAACTGACAATGTTATGAATGTTGTTATGAACTTGTGCATTTTATTAAAATTAATTTAATTTGGGTCCCATTTATTTCTTTGAGTCTGATTTTGTTGTTTAATTAATTTTATTTGGTGGGGGGGGGGAATGTTTATTTTCGCAATTATTTTTTGCATGAAGCAATTTCTGGAACCAAACTCGCGTTTTTGTACACGTTTCTTTCTAGAGGTAAGTAATTTCCAATTTATTAAGAAAACCACTGTATAATGTGTGTGTTTAATAATATATTACAAAATGACTATAATTATTTTAGGTGAATTGGAACAGAGATCCATTGTTACAGCTACTTTTGTTCATTGAGTATGTAGATGAATGTCTCGACAGCTTTAATGGCAGCACAAAGTTCCCACCTACTAGAAAAGAAGTAAAATGTATGCTGAGTAAAAAATCTCTGCACATGTAGTATTGGCAAAGGACCTTTGAAATGATTAGAGATTGGCTATTTCTTACATACACCTACCTCTAATAGCCACTCTAATGGCTATTGTAATTTGTAATTGTAATTTAAACTAAGAAAAAAAAATGAATCACAAAAGGGCAGAATTTTAAATCAGGATGCATTGGAAAATAAATTTGGGGACATCTGGTCGGTTTTGGATTTTAGAGAGAGATCAATCTCAAGAATAGTTAATTTATCCTGCAAAACAACCAGTAGTTTAAGTAGGATTTGCTATAACTTTATTAGAAGATTTCCTTGATAATAAATTGTAATATACCAATTGTTTCAAATGAAATTGAAAAAGAGTTAAATTCGAAATTAGATTTTTCATGGGTAAAAAGTTATATTCATTCAAACATTGTAAGGTAATCTATAATTAAGGGAGTATGGAAAATAGGTATACCCAGGTAAGGGACAACGAAAAAAAAAATATAAAAATGTATTCATCTTTAAATAGTGTTTATTATGAATATTATTATTTGCTGTTTGAAAAATACCTCCTGCTGCAGAGCAGATCGAATAGATTAGACGACTAGTTGGAGAAGGTCCACCTAGTCACCAAATTAGAAGACTAGGAAAACTTTTACATGACTGGGGACACAACAGGAATGCACACATACAAGATACACAGACAACATAACAGGGGTAAGCCTTCAGCAAGGTCCTGTTTAAATGATGATAGTATGTCATCCTTCATTCCCTTTTAGAAGGCATGGCATATAAATCTATTGATCTTGATGACCCTAAGAGGAGTTAGCAGGGGGGTGTACGGAATGGATCTAGCAGGTCTCGATCCAGTTTACAGGATGGGAACTTACTCGACTCGGGCCTTATACATTTGTGTGAGTGTATGTGTGTGTTTGTTTCGTTTCCATGGTTTCTATTAAAATAAACAGTCATAACATATCTAACATAAGTGACATTTGTTCAAATGGCACTTATGATAGTCTGGCAAAAAGGTATCGATATACTCTATACTTTATAAAATATATGTTACATTATTTTTTAAATATATTATGAATATATAACAACTGTGACTTTCTTTGTAATTTGTCACAAAATGATACTAGGTACTTTCTAAACGTAACAATTGTATTTTGTTTTTCTCTACCTTACAAAAATATAATTTATAGAAAAAGGGTTTGGTGTATTATTTTTCCAAGTTTAAATATTTAATAATCAATAGAATTTTCAAGTTTTTTTAGCAAAATTTACAAGAGTAATAAAAACTATGTTCACTGCTTATATTAAACTGATTAAAACTTCCTTTATTAAAATGATTATTTATATGATACAAAATTTGATATTGGAAGCTTTTATATTTTTTAATATACAGTGAAACAATAGTTTTTGTTTCTCCTGTAAATTTGTATAGAAAAACTATTTATTTCTGAATCCATTTTTGAATTTCTCGCCCTAAAGCATTTTTAATTTTCTCGCTATTTACTAGTGGCGCCATCATAGACTGGTTGTGGTTACAATCGCCCAAACAACTTTTACCGAACAAAAAAAATAAATTGAGTTACACGTCTCGCTGGATTGTCTCAGATTATTTACATCTTCTTCTTTTCGTTTTTTGGCCTCCACCCTTTGGGTATTTAGCCAGCGCAGGTAATTTAGCTTAATTATATTTCGGGAATATTCATTAAAGAACGTCTGGAATTTTCAATCTTCCCATTGAAGAAAAATCCATATTCACTCTTTTCCATTGATTGTATTAATACTTGATACATAAGCTAAACATGTTAAAAGACAACACAACAAAGGTATAAACTTTTCTCACTCAGGGGCAACTGCCGAGCATTTACACAAACCCAGAAATGTTGCCTCGGATAGATAGAAAAAGCACCCAGGTTAAATAGATCAGGAATTATTCTGGAATTAACAAAGAATATATTTTTTTTTGTATACTAAATTTTTATTTTAAATGTGTTAATAAATTTCATAATTACTTTAATGACATTTAAATTTAGGTGATTTAAAATACTAGGAAGTGAGATGGGAGAAGTGCAGCCTATTTTAATCAATTCTCTATATACGAGGTCTGTAAATTAAGTAATGAGACTGATTTTTTTTAAAGTTTTTATACAAAAAGAATTACAATTCAATATTGTCACCTTCAAAATAACTTCCTTCTGAGGCCACACAGCGCTGGAGACGTTTCTTTCACTCCTCATAGCAGTGCTGGAACTCCGATACTGAAATAACCTTCAGCTGGTCGGTTACAGCCGTTTGAATTTTTTCGACTGTCCCAAAATGATTTCCCTTGAGGTGACTTTTCAACTTTGGGAAGAGAAAAAAGTCACAAGGACTCAAGTCAGGCGAATAAGGAGGCTGAGGAGCCACAGGAATGTTTTTACTGGCCAAAAACTCGTTTATTGAAATTGCTGTGTGACAAGGAGCATTATCGTGATGCAACACCCACTTGTTCTTGATGTTTGGTCTCACACGAATGACCCTTTTTCGAAGTCTTTCAAGAACCTCTCGGTAAAAGTGTTGATTGACCGTTTGACCTTGAGGTACAAACTCTTTGAAGATGAAGGCCTTCAGCTTCGTGGTTCATCTTCAATCGACTCTCATCCTTCTGAAAATGCCTTAAACCACCGAAAAACCTGGGCCCTTGACAAAACACTATCTCCGTAGGCCTGCTGAAGTTTCAGAAGAGTTTCCGTTGCACTGTGCCCAAGTCTGAAGCAAAACCTGATAGCACACCGTTGCTCGAAATTGATGTCATTCATTTTTAGAACACAATAGAAAAAACTGTTTCACAAAAACAATCGCTACGCACAACCAAATGACTTGAGCGAGGTCAAACTCGTACCACAGAACTCGTACTGAAGGTAGATCACATGTTCCTCTGCAGACCCACTAAGCCCCGCGCTTCCAGTGTTGCCAGATCAAACGCAACGTTGCCAGTCTCATTACTTAATTTACAGACCTCGTAAATCAAAATTAACAGTAATGTTCAAGGGTCACTCAAAAAATATATAGTGTAGAATTTCAATTTGACCACATTCACAGAATGGGTTATCGCTACACCCAATTTTAAAAAGGGTGTACCCAGTCTTCAACCTAATAATAGTTGTAATATGTCTGCGATCAATACATGGAAATTTCAAAAACCAAGATTTATGAGGAAAGTCCCACTGATTTGGATAACATTTCCCTTTTTCCAAAAAGGATCTACTCCAGATAATGTTGTGCGCATTTAAAATTCGTTTTTTAAAATAAGGAAAATAATCATGCCTGTCTATTTTAATATCAGCTGGAACATTCAAAACTCTATCTATATTAGCCAGATCATTTGCCTGTTTGTTACCCATTACCCCCATATGACCTGGGATCCATGCTAGAATGAACTTAAACTCAGCCCTACTAGCGTCCAATAATAGTCTTTTGGTTTTTAAGGCAGTAAAGTTATTATTCCCATATTTTTTGTGTTCAATCATTCTAATTGCGCTCTGAGAGTCTGAAAAGATTACACATTTTGTTAGTTCTTTCTCTATGCATACCACAATGGCTTTATTGATAGCTAAAATTTCAGCAGAACATATTTGTGTATGGTCAAGCAGCCTAGTAGAAAAGTTATATTTAATATCAGGAATATGAACCACACAGCCTACACTCTGATCTACAGGATTTAATGAACCATCAGTGAACACCGAAGTATATGACATAAATATATCCGCAAATTCATTTAAAAAACATTGATTACTATAAATACCATTTTTACTTGCAGCTGAAAAGACTGTTCTTATTCTATCGATTTGATCAGACACTTCAATTTGGAAACACGGATTTACATCTGTTCTATACAGGTTAGTAATAACATGATCTGCTACAATTTTAGCTTCAATTAGGTAAGGAGGGTCCCTCACTCTCCAATAACCAATCCTAACTTGATACATGTTAGACAAAGAATCTAAAATTGCATTCAGGGGGTTGTTATTGTCCAATCTTATTTTCAAATAGAACTTAATGGCTAACAATTGTCTCCTATATTCAAGGGATATTTCACCAGATTCAGCAAGTAGGCAGTTGATTGGTGTTGATTTCATTACTCCTGTCACTAACCTCAAGCTTTTGTATTGTACCCTATCTAATATATTTAATATTTTTTTGCTACATGGTCTCAGAACATAATATGCATAATCTAGATGAGATCTAATTAAACCTTTATATAAAGAAAGCATAGTGGATGGATCTGCTCCCCAATGGATACCTCTTATCGCTCTCATTATATTTAACTCTTTTTGAGTTTTATTTTCTAGCTCTTGTACATAAACAGTCCAATTTAATCTATTATTTATTGAGACACCTAAATACTTAACATTTTCTTTAATTACAATTATATTATTTTTAATCCTAATATTAGGGCTTACCAATTTCCTATTTGAATTATTAAAAATTGCAGCAGAAGATTTTAGTGGAGAGATTTTGAGTTTGTGACTGTCTAGCCATTCAGCGACATTATCCAGAGTAAGATTTATTACATTGATAGATTTTGCTATTATATCCCCTTCTATCATAAACACCAAGTCATCAGCATATTGAATCATTTTTACATTATCCGGAATAATATCAAACAATGAAATCATATATATATTAAATAGAAGGAGGCTCAATGGTGAACCTTGAGCCAGACCTTTACTACTTAACCCAGGACCAGTTAATTCATATCCCTAACATATATTCTTTTATTATATAGCAAATTGAAAACTACAATTGTATAATATGAAGGGATATTAATATCTAACATTTTCCTATAAAGAATATGGATGTCTATATTATCATATGCCGCTTTAAGATCAATGAATACTGCAATTAAATGGTTTTTTGAACTAAAAGCTTTTAATACTGAGTGTGACAAGATTGCAATTGCATCACTACATCCCCTTTCCCTTCTAAAACCCATTTGAAATTTTGAAAGGATCTTATGTTCTAAAAACCATTCCAAGTGAATCTTTATCATACTCTCCAAAATTTTACCTACACATGAAGTTTAATGCAATTGGTCTATGATTTTCAAATGAGCCCTGATCTTTACCTTCTTTTAGTACAGGAACCACAATAGTCTCCTTCCATTGTAAAGGAACCCTACCAGTCTCCACACTATAATTATAATATTGCAGTAATTTAAGTTGGGCCACGTTAGGGAGATTACTTAATATCGAGAAAGATATATTATCTTTACCAGTAGCCCTATCTTTTCTTCCCTCTACTACAATACAGAACTCATTAAAGGAGAATGGATTTACATCTATATTGTTATTAACTATGTGAAACTCAGGATCAATGTCACAGCAAGTTAGTGACTCCAGCAAATTTTGGGCAATTTCTTTATTAGGGAAGCTTATATTATTGTTAGTGATGTAAGACTTAAATCACTTAACTACTTTCCAAACTTTTTTAATTGGAGTATCTCTGTTTAGTGTCCCACAAAATTCTCTGAAAGACGTTTTCTTTTTAATTTTAAATGTTCGCTTAACAAGAGCTTGAACCCTTTTAAGTTCAATATAATTTACTGCATTCATTTCCAATTTATATTTATGTATTGCCTGTCTTCTTCTAGCAACTAAATCCGAACACTCCTTATCCCACCAAAAATTGTATTTACATTTTCCATTGTTGCTAAAATAAGGAATGTACTTTTCTGCTGACCTATCTACTAACTCATACCAATTTATATAGTCCAAATCCCCACTAGACGAATTGAATGAATCTTCTATATCCTTACTAAAACCATTCCAATCTGATTTTTTAAAATTCCCTTTCCTAACTGTATAAACCATATCCTTATTATTAAATATTTCACATATTGTTGGATAATGATCACTACCACCAAAGTCATTATGAACCGAGTTATGAACATACCAGAGACATTCTAATCCTAGCTCCTTAGTAACTATTGTTAGATCAACTGCCTATTCATGTTGTCCCGGTAGCCCAACTCTTGTTGGACTCCCATCATTCATTATAATTAAACCCTCCTCTACCAGAGATTCTTTAATAATTTTACCATTATAGTCACAATTGTGATACAGGCCTTTACAAAACATTAAAATACATCACTTAAAATATGACAAATACAAGGTATCCTGTAGAGCAACAGGCAAAGTTCGCTTTCTTCAATCTGAAAAAGAATCAGAATGAAGAAGAGCGTTCTTCCACTTAACCTACAAAAAAGTATACATTATATTATACATTACCTAGGTACATAATTTTTTTTACCAATAAACTAATTAAGCAATAAAAAATAATATATAATATAAAAAATTTGAGCAATAATTAGATATTAGTCATAAACAAAAAGCTGAAACAAGTACCTAGACAAATTCACATCTCCATGTAGGACATCAAATTCATCATGTTTAGCTAGGCAAACTGTTACTCAGAATTAGATGTTTTAACTTTTTTTTAAAATTAACCAATGATAATGATTTAAGAAAATTTGGTAAAGCGTTATAATACCTTGATATGCAATAGGAGAAGGATTTAAAAAGAGCAGTTCTGTGTTTGGGAATGGACAATGATTTAGTAAATCTGAGGTTTAGTGTGCTTGATATCGAAATTGGACTTTTTTATAAAGATATGTTGAAATTTTAGTAACAATTAATTTGTGATAGAAAATGCAGCAGTGGAGGAAACGCCTTTGTTTTAAATTAAGCCAGCCGATCTGTTTTAAACTAGGTGAGATTCTATTTCGTCCCCCATTATTATAAAAGGTTTTGGTGTATTATTTAAAAGTGAATTCCACTGATTGATATTAATTCTATTACCTGATGGGTTATAGACATTAATAACATGTAAATTCAATGAGTTAATTTTGATTGTCAATGTCTGCATGGGTGTTAAGAAATTGACTTCATTAATAAACTGGTGGTCAATTTTATTTTTAATCAATGTAATAATACCCCCATATCCATCAATTCTATCTTGTCTATATATACTATAGTTTTTTATTTTGAAATATTATGTGTTATTTAGCCAAGTTTCATTCAATAATACGACATCTGGATTAAATTCTTCTTGAAAATACTTTAACTGATCATAGTTGGATTTTAAACTTCGGATATTCCATTGACAAATTTTCAATTTATGTTTAGTAAAATTTATTTTAGAGTCTAAATTATTTTTACCTTTCAAATTCATATTAATATTATTATTATTATTATTATTATTACAAGAATTATTAACATTATAGCCTATTCTATCTAGGTCACTTCCCTTGATTTGAGACATTCTTACCTAATTTAAAAACATCAGGAACTGATATTCTAACTAACTGATCCATAAACTTGAGAACATGTTCTCTATCATATTTGTTTAATTTACTAGCTATATTCATTATTTAACATATGAGATTCACTCTCATTTCTGTTGGTTCTCCCTGAGCCACATGAATAGACCTCCTCTTCATCTACTGAAGGGGGAATGTAGTATGTCTCAGTAGAACACTGTGATCTACCACTTGGGCTTATTAAAAATTTATTATGAGCCTTTGCATCATAACCAATTCGTTTTCACCTTTCCTTTTTTTCCCAGTAACTTGAGAAAAGGAATTTCTTAAGGGGGTTTGTTGTATGTGGGCTGCCCTTCTACTACTGATGGGAATTATATTGTCCTCTGGGGACTAAATACTTGGTAAGGGAGGAAAATCCCTAGAGTGATATGAAAATTCATTATCGTTATTATTTGACATTCTGGAGAATTTGTCTGATGCTTCAAAAAAGGAGATATTATCTAAAGACATGGCTTCTCTAATCAAATTTTGCCGTTTACGTTCAGGACACATCTTATGTGTACTCGTATGTTCTAGCGACTTACAATGCACACACTTCATTATGCAAAACTTCCCTTGTTCATGGACATCTCCACATTTCAAACATTTAATTGCCTTAGTTTTGCACATTTTTTTAATATGACCATAATTTAAACAATTATAACATTGAAAAACAGGCATAATGTATGGTAATACCCTGTGTTCTATACCACATATTTTTACACTGTGAGGCTGGTAGGTACCTATAAAGGTGAATCGGACCTTCCCTGTAGGCACCAAGTTGACCTCCGAGTCCGCCTCCAGTTCACCATCACCCCCTCTCTGCGGGTTCACCTTCCTCATAAATCTCATAACTTCACTTACTTTGATGTTAGCAGTATCAGTTTCAGAATACCTAAGCAACATATCAGAGAATGATTTATCAATAAACTTAACTATTCCCTTACATGACACATTTTTTGAAGGTTGAACAGAGCATACCCTTTTGCTTTTAATTCCTCATTATTTAAAAAATTATTTGCCTCTTTAAAACCCGAAAATACTACCCCAAAATAATACCTCAAGAAAACCAAGGGAAAACAATTTCTTTTAAATTATAAGGAAGAGAACGGTTAATTTAACAAAGGAAATGTTAGTATTAAAGCCTTTACCTGAAACCCTTAACTAAATGAAAAAAAAACTTTTGCCAGCACAATCACAGAGCACAACACAGAACACGAGCACAATACGAAACGACTTTGCTTATTAGTTTTTATTTTTCTATGATTATTTACCATTTACAATTTACTTTACTAACTGGAAAAAATCAAATTTGAATTAACTTGACTTCTTCTTGTTTAATTGTATATGGCCTCTGCTTAGGCAGTATTTGGTCGGGACGTTGGCTGTATACAAATGGTCCTAACGGTCCGACGGGTCCGTCGTCCGTATTGGTCCTAGGACTTTCAGCCCAGTATCACATCATTCGATAATATCACAGCTTATACAATACAGCTCCACAACTCCGTGTCGGCGTCTTTGATCTGGCGGTCGAGAACCAAGCAAGACGGAATGGTGCTATCTCTGTTAGATTCGAGGAAAAAGTCGGGCCCGGATTAAACAATTTTTTTATTATTGAAAAAATTGAAAACCTTGGCGTAATAAGGTTGGTTACATGCCATATTAAGTAAATTTTGGGAAATTAAATTTTTAATTTGTTTTAAATCTGTCAAATATAATTAAAAAATTATTTAAATATAAATATTACGAAAAATAGCACATCTTTCGGATTGGAGGTAAAATAATTTGTATGTGGCTAGTAAAATCCTCGTTAACAAATGTTTTGAGTTAAAACAGTCACTTCACGACAAATTGTGACTTGGATCCTTTTAACACCAAGGGCTTCAATTGTTAAAGAATTTTGTCACGCTCGTGGATGCAAATCAAGTGGTACCCCGTGTGTCTCGCAAGTGTTACTCTTCGCGCAAAGGGTTTATACCTAGATAAACGAATGCTTCGACTGAGGTCTGGGAACTCTATGGTATTTTGGAATTATAAAGAATTTGTGCTTTTATTTTAACAATATTGGTTATATTTAGATGTATTCTTATTAATTGAAATACAGATTTGTAGAAGTAATACTTTGACAGTTTTTATTAATATAATATATTCAATTTTTATCTGACCATACCGAAGTAGGGAATTTTAAAACTCTATAGTAATGTGAAATTTGAATTACAATATTACACGAAATTACATAATTAGTACTTATTTTAGGTAGGTACTAAATTTGTACTTGGAGAAAGTAATATCGATTTTTACAAGAAAACTTGAAAAGTAAATTAATTTAGTTCCTATTTCTGATGTAAAACTTAAACCACGAAAACAAATAAATAGTAGTTTGTTCAACAAGGGTAGATATGATAGGCATATCACACAAAGACGAAGTTTGAGCACGACGTCGTAGGCGGGGTACTCAATCGTCTGATTGTGATATGAACAATCCACTCGATATGGTCAGTATATTTTTTCTACGACCCACTAACGAAAATCTACAAATTTAAAAAATTATTTTAGGTTATTTAGACAAAATAACTAATTTTAAAATAATTTACGAAGTTGACTATTTTATAAAATAAAATAAACATGAAAAATTAATTAGTCCTCTGCCTAGATTCGATCCCGGGCTTTTCGCGTGGAAGGCAGATGCTCTGTCCTCATCTTCACCGAAACTTTCAGGACTTTAGTTTTAATACTCGTAATTAAATTAGTATCATGTAGTTTGATTAAAATTTATTTTTGTTTAAATGTGGACACAATAAAAACAAAAATGCTATTATTTATCGAGTCTACACAAAAATTTTAATGTATATTTAATATCAATAACTAAAATATATATTGACAATTCGTTTAACAGAATTGTCACTTATTTAAAAAAATTTAAATAATAGGAGTTGGGTGACCAAATTATGAACTGTGATTTGTAGATTTAATTTTGTTAAAGTTTCTCACTACCTAAAATGGATATGAAATATATTCGTAGTTGAACGCAATAGCTTACTTTTTCGTTTTGTAGTATGTGCGTAGATTGGCTAATATTCATGCACAGATTACAAAACGAAAAAGTATGCTACTGCCTTCAATTGAACGAATATATTTCATATCCATTCTAGGTAGTGAGAAACTGCAAAAAAAATAAATTCGCCAATCACCGTTCATGTTTTGATCAACCGACTGCTATTATTTTTAAAATTTTAAATAAATGACAATTCTGTCAAACTAATTGTCAGTATATTTTTTAGTTATTGAGATTAAACATACATTAAAATAGGTTATTCTTTTGGAAAACGTTAGCATGGATGACTAAAGGGTATTGGGTTAATTAATTCTAAAAGTGTGGTGCAAATGTTATTTTTTGTAGCCAATTCTTCAAAATTATTTTGAAATATCTTTTCAATATTGAATATTAGTTCTACAAATTCATCATTTGACAGTAGCAGATTTCCAAATGTATCTGAATTGGCGTTATCATGTGCCTTTAAAAAGCAATAAAAATAAAAATCATCTAATTTAACGTGATCTTTGTTATATTTAAGACAGGTATCACAGGAGTGGATCCGCAAGGCTTTTATTAAAAGGTAACCACACACATACCTGATAAAATTTTTCTGTAGCAATAATTTAGGGTGTTAATAATTTCATCATAAAATAAAATACAAGGTGTTCCATTTAAAAAACATACATTTTAATTTGCCAGGCAAAAACGTGACACCCTGTATATCCAAAGATATTTTTAAAATATGTAGGTATTTTTCTAATCCATATAACTTTTATTTAAAACTTTTTTGCGTGTCTACAACAAAATAATGAACAATAACGCACTAATGGGACACCCTGTATAAATTATATTTTTAACAATGAAAATTTCTTATAACGTGATACTTATCGGTTTGGGTCCTTGGGAAAACTAAAGAATGTTTTCTTGCAGGTATAACCCTTATTAAAACAGCTTTTGACTGCACAAACAGAATGATGTCTTTTTTTTTTCACTCATTCTACTCACAGCTAAAGAGTCACCATAATAATAACAGTACCTTCAACTCAAACAAAATCAACGAAATTATAGGCTCCACGAAATTATACAATCAACGAAATTATACGCACGACTCAACACCTAAGTACGCTTCTGAACGCCAAAACCGTCTTTTCCCTCCGAAGGCGGAGCTTAAGCGATGCGCGACGAAATCGACGCAAACCGTTGCAGCCAAGAGAGTGTTTTAGCCACATACTTTGATTTTCTTTTACTATACGGAGAATGGTCGCACTGCGCAGCTTTCTGAGTGCCTTTTAAAAGGAGATAGAAAACTCCGCCATTTTGAACCCTTATTACGTGTTGCCTACATCTTGGCGCAATATTTTTAATAGGTGCGTTTTAATCATCAGCTTCTGCTTCGGAATTGTCGGTTTTCTTGTTTTAATCTGACAGGTTAAAACGACTAAACCGACAATTCCGGAAGCAGAAGCGGATGATTAAAACGCACCTGATATTTTGCTTGCTGCTGTCAGTGTCAGTGAATATTATTTTTGAAGTCACAGTTTATTGTTAAAGAATCAGTTAGCTCACTCGGACCAGTTAAAAGTTCTAAAATAACATCCACTCCAGGGATACAAATTCAGGATACGCAGAAGACTGCTGTGTTATTATAGGCGGTTGTCATATATTGTATTATCTGAGTTGCATAGTGTATAAACTGAAACATTGAGATCCAAAGTGCCGACGCAGAGTGAGCGATCTGATTCTTTAGCTGTAAACTGTGTCACAGGGTTCAAAATGGCCGCGCCCTATGTTGGGCGCATTGATCTGGCAACCTAGGGATACGACATGCGTAAGCGAAAAGTGGGACCGGTCCGCCATTACTGTGAGTGCAAATTGTCAAATTTTATAGGTTATATTTTTAGTGTCATTTGTGTAATTAAATTTGAATTTAATTTGTGTTTGAGCAAATTTTGAGTGTTACAAACTTATAAAGTATATAATGCCTTGCTGTGTTATACGTTCCTGCTCTAGCGATAGACGCTTTTGTGAAAAATCGACTGGAATAACGTTTCATAGGTTAGTATCAAAATTATAAATATTATACAGGACAGTATTATGACAGGTTTGTATAAAATGTGTAAAAGTATGTTTTTAAAAATGCAAAAAAAATCATCTATCAACTGCTGTGCCTACCTATTTTAGAATAATACTTTTTCATACGAAATAATATTTATAGATTTCCAAAAATCCTATAAAACGTAGCGCGTGGATACAGTTTGTCAACAAGTATAATTGGTAACCTAAATTCAGCAGTATATGTTTCAAGCATTTTCTTGAGAAGTACATTAATCGTACGCCATTTCGTTTATCAAATTTAATTTATAGGCATTTTATATTCTTATTTCTATTTAAATATAAACTACATTTGCTGTCGTTCCACCAATTTTATTTATTAGTTCTACAGCTGATTGAAAAGTAGAGCTTCATGTTTTGTGTATGCATGAGTATTGTTTGTTTTATTATAGTTAATTTAAAACAATATTAATATACCTTTTTAATTACCTATAATTTATTTCAGATTAGTGTATTTAAAGGAATTGGTGAAAATGAAGTGATTCGCCAACTTTGGCGATGTGTCAGAAAAGTGACATCAAAGTTATTCAACGTTTCCAGAATAAAGCATTAAGGAACATCATCAATGCACCCTGGTACTGCCACAATACTGATCTTCATAGGGACCTTAAAGTGGAGATTGTTGAAAATACAATACAAAAATTTGCCAGTAGTCACTAACAACAACTGCTCCAGCACGGAAACCTCGAGATTATCCAGCTCCTCAACAATGCCAAATCTAATAAGAAGACTCAAGAGACCAAGCCTTTTGAGTTTGTTAAAGCATAGTACAGTGCAGTTAAGTGATTTAGACTCTAAAGTATACTAGAGAGTAGAATATCAGTTTGTGAAGTTTTTCATCCCTTGATAAGTTAGAATAAAATTTCTAATTGATCTTAATGATTATATTGTAGTAACAATCGTAAATGTTTCTTTACTTGGGGCATTTATTAAAAAAAACTTTGTTTCAGATTAGTGCATTTAAAGGACTTTGTGGAAATGAAGTCATTCCCCTTTATATTTTATGAAATAATGTTTTAAGAATCAATATTTGAGTTTTGTGTATTTTAAATAGACATGTATATTTATAAATGTCTTTTTTTAGTCTAATAGTATTTTAGAGACAAAAGCTAGAATACATTTCTGAAATATGACTATTTAATATCTCTAAAAGATTTAAAATTTTTATTTCATAAATATTACTGTGAAATATTAGCAATTAGACTAGCAACAAAACCATAACCGTTTGTCTAGTATTAAAAATAAATATCACTCCTAGATATGGATAAGAAAATATTA